AGAGAGAGAGAGAGAGAGAGAGAGAGAGAGAAAGAGAGAGAGAGAGAGAGAGCACATTATCTAGCAAGAAGTAATGTTGAATATATATAGAAATTAAATGAACTATTACGTACAAGAAGATATGACCCGATATAAACGGGATATGCGCTACTTGCTACCTCCCATTGCGGAGTCCTCACATTCATATACAAATCACAAGGGGACGCGTGTATTTGAAAAAAAGCAGTATGTGGGGGAATCGGAACGCGCATAAACAAATAGTTTGTGGAGAGAGAGAGAGAGAGAGAGAGAGAGAGAGAGAGAGAGAGAGAGAAAGAGAGAGAGAGAGAGAGAGCACATTATCTAGCAAGAAGTAATGTTGAATATATTTAGAAATTAAATGAACTATTACGTACAAGAAGATATGACCCGATATAAACGGGATATGCGCTACTTGCTACCTCCCATTGCGGAGTCCTCACATCTAGCAACCAAAAAATTTTAGTTGAAAAAAGTAGGACACTATTTCATGACCTTGGAATATATAGTTAGAAAAAAAAGTTCATTGGGGTTTCCCTGTTTTGAAAAGAAATATCAATGAATTGATGTTTACGTTTCTGACATCATCAAGTTTATCTGCAATATAATATGAGCCTTCCCTACCCATTTTCACGCCCCTTAACTACAACAGCAACAAAAAAATATGTTTTTCATATTTGCTTTTGGTATGAAATAAGCAAAGTTCCACTTTGCACACGATTGTTTTCAATAAATAACTAAATGCTTCAAAAGCATATGTTGCATATCCCATGAACGAGAGCTGATTCATAGGTGAGTAACTGGTGCCTTTTTTTTTTTAAATCAGTGGGTCTAATGTAACCCCCCCCTCCCCGGGCCCCCCAAATATAAATTAACGTCTAACATTTGAGGCACTATTATCCAACTTATCCTTGAGAGCTCTGGTTCATGTCCATGCTGGGGAGAAGTAAGACGTTATATCAGACAGTTATTATATAAATTAAAATGGTGTCCGTTACCTTCCGACGTCCGCAGCACAAAATGTCGTCTCACGAACGGGGAGTCATCAACTGAACGGCTACACTAACCTGCAGGTTGCCCCAATTTTAAGAGCTGTGATTGTCAAAGTTAGTTAGGTTTGTGATTATGTCTACCTGGTCCAGGGGTGTCAACCTGGTCCAGGGGTGTCAACGCAGGTAATGAGCCCGGCACGTTGTGGGTTAAAGGGGGAAAGTAGTTGCCATTTGGTGGGAAATAGTTTTTATTCGTTATGGACCGTTTTTTTTTAAAAAATATTTCAGTGAATATAGATGGATCACTGCCGTTCTAGTTCAGTGGGTGTAAACGCAGCTAAATGGCCCGGCACCTTCATGATGAAATGGGAAAGTGTTTGCAGTGAGGTGAGAAAATAAGTTTTAGCCATTCTGTACCGTTTGTAATATGTTTTAGTGAAATGACGGATCGCTGTTTGGTTGGTGATATGGAGTGGGGTGGGAGGGGTGGATAAGGCAAACAACAGAGTTAAAAAACAAATCCGCTCACGTGACAAACCAAACATTACAAAACACAAACCGAAAACATCCTCACGAAAAAAGAAAAATCTTTAACAATGTAAAAGTCAATGGATTGATAGGGTGGTGGAATGGTGGAAGGTAGGTTTGAGGGATAGATGGATGGGAAAATTGTGGGATGGATGGATAGATGGGTGGATAGAGGGATGGAAAGAAGGATGGATAGAGGGATGGATGCAGGGATGGATAGAGGTATGTATAGAGGGATGGATAGATAGATGGATAGAGGGATGGATAGAGGGATGGATAGATAGATGGATAGAGGGAGGGGGTGCAACATTGCGGCAAGGGGTATGAAAATGTGGTGGGTTTTTTTTTTTTGCGTACGTTCTATGGATAGTCACTTTTTAGCATCACATAAACGGCGGTTACCTGGCCCATCTTGCCAATCTACATTCGGTTGGCTCTGGTCCGCACTATGCAAATACGCGCGCTCCATTCCATCCTTTCGTGATCTCTGTTGCACATTTCTGGCGTCACAACGGCTTCTGCAAACAAAAGGTCGGGCCTATCTATTTGCGAGCTGAGCGTGTGGAAAATCTGAGACAATTTAAAGTTTCAAACCGGAACTGTAAGGCATTATCAGTTGCCCATTGACTCAATGGTGGATTATATAAGACTAAGGCTAAACCGGGTCCATTTTTTTATACCCTCCGTCCAGGTATTTTGAAAAATAGGCCTACAGACAGTCCTACACCATTTCTGCCGGTCGTAACAATAGGCCTACAGACAGTCCTACACCATTAATAGCATTAACTATCAAATAGCAGTCTGGAGGCCAACTACACACTCGAGGTCGAAATAAAAAAAAAACACGAAAATATGGATGTTCTTTTTAATTATTTATTTGATATTATTTTATTCAATTATTATGTATTAACACATTGACACCCTACACATCAACACCTGTATTAGTGGGAATGCTGAACTAGTTTCCTGGACGCAAAAATAGCAGACATTTCTGGATTTAGATTTGATGTCCCTCACATCAATAGTGACCTGAGATTATCATCGGACAAGTTTGTTTTCAAATTGTTCTTCAAGTATTTCATTCTTTAAAATGTTTGTTCACACAGGTATGTTGTTCCGAAGATTGAAAGGCACCTTGATACAAAAGTGTGGACATTGGGAAAGTTTTCCTTGGGCAAAAACTTATATAAAAACCCACCAGTCCTCCTTTGAACTTGCCCCTAAGGGGGTCATTTGCTTGCAGCTCAATGACCACCCCCCCCAACCAAGCTGCAGTTCATCGTATTGCTATGTGGTAATCAGTTGGAAAACATGACGCACTACTGCGCGCCTCCATTTTAATTCGGTAAAAACATAACGTCCACGTCAGCGGCGGCTGATCTTGGCAGGATACACGTACATTTACGTCATGTTTATTTCCGTAGACAAGAAGCTCCCCGTATCCGGCCCGCGGGTCGTAGTTTGGATACCCCCCTGCGCAAGATATATATTTTTTTTTACCTGAGCTCAATCGTCACGCATGACATCACTTTTTTTCCCCCTCAGTGCTATTAATATAAAACATGTGGAGCTGAGGGCAGGGCGGTGTCGAAAAGGAAGCAGGACACACGAGAAGCAAAAATATATATGAGAGGAAATTGGTATGCTATTCATCTGGTACGAAGAGTCAACATCCGGGGTGTATCTGGGCTTTGCGATACATGGAACAGTTCTTGAACCCCTTGCCCCCCCCCTCTGATACGCACACCAATGTTACCCCACCCCCACCCCACCCCTCGTTCATTGAGTTACGCATTCTTTATTTCTGTTTTAATTTATTTTAGAAAATATCCTCTCTCGTACACTCATTAGCATATTCTTTTTGTTTTTTTTGTTTTTGTTTTTTTTGTTTTTGTTTTTGTTTTGTTTATTTAACCATCTGTTTACACCTGTCAACAACATAGACTATATGTCGATTTCCAAGAAGATCATATTACTTTTGTAACCACTCGCCAAAGGTTAAAAAAAAAAAGTGGGGGGTGGGAGATAAAAACCAACATTTACAGATCAGTTCCCTTACCCGTGTGTTACATGCGCCCTGTGGGGAGGTTGGGGGGGGGGGTCGTGGACTATATGCATGAAAGCAGGAGTTGTCACCTTTCTAGTGTTACCTTTCATTTAGTGCTCGTGACAAAGCCAGAAATGTACAGACCAGCTGTGTCATAACATGAGATGTTGTGCCCCTGATATTTTTTTTTTATAGCGCGTTACTTATGGTGTTGAACAACATGGTTGTTTGATTATCACTAGTTAATACAGGGAAATATTGTGAGTACTTACTACTACACACAAAGAATGTGAATGCTACAATGCCTACCAAACTGATTTGTACAAACGTGGTATTTTTAGCGCTGTAAGCAGTGGCGTAGCTAGCTATGATCAGTGCATCCGAGGCGGACCAAGATTTCTTACCGTGACCCTTCCACGAAAGAAAAAGATACCTGCTATTGGCGGAAAATGTTGCCTCCTCCCTCCTCCTCAAAATGAAGATGAAAGTGCCCGGGGGGGGGGGGGGGGGCGGGGGCAGCCCTTCCTCCCCACTTTCATACACTGTTGTATGAAAACCTCATGTAAATATCCGTGCGTATGACAAGTGTTGATCAGCAGAGGATACAGTGAAACTCTTGGACACATACGTTTTTGTGTGATTGGCATGAGGATAGGGCACCACCGGTGTGAAAGATGCCCGAAAAAAGAAAAAGACACAAAATTATGAGCGGAAAGAAGCAGCAGAATATCCAAATAAAATATAAAGCAACTTTTAAGCCAAAACATATAGGCTGTATGTAACTATATAATTGGTTTGAGTTACAACTGGCATTGGCATTTCTCTGCAAAGCTACCAGCAGCGGGGTGAAAGAAATTCTGGAAAACAAAAGACACAAAGTTGCAGGCAGCAGGGAAACGGCAGAATATCAAATTAAATTTTAAGCAAAACATATATATATATAAATATATATTCAGCTTAAGCTACTACAATCCAATGACATATTATCCTCTAGATATGCCATTTACTGTGATACTTCACTACCGATTCTCAATTCCATACCTCGTTTGCTGTAGTCTCCGACTTCGGGGATTTCAGTTTTGCAATCATGATTCTTTTGTCCCTACAAAAAAAAAATTAAAAAAATGTCTTTTGTCTTCTCGCTCTATACCTATAAATTATGAGTTTATGTTTTTGTTCTTACAAAAAAAAAAAAAAAAAAAAA